ATGCAGATTTTCAGAGAAAGCAGCAGGCTGGTTTGAATGATGGAAACCAAATAGCTGAAGTTAAGGCTAAGTTAGACAGCATGCACAGCCTTCTGGTGGGAAAGAAGTCAGTTCAGTTTGCTGCAGAAGTGGAGAGTTTCGAAAATCCTGAAGAATTTGAGCAGAAAGATGTTAATTTCATCAATGGAGGGGGTTTTCAGAGCCAAAGGTTTGGAAATCAGCAATGGATCAGAGGCTACAACAGCAATAATCAGCAGAGTATCTTTACAGGAGGACAGAGCACGTCTGGTTACACTCCTAAGCCCCCATTCCAGAAGACTGAAGTTGAGAAACTTTACCAAAACAGCAGGAATTATGGTTCTTCTTCCTACCAAACTGCACCTCCACAAGACAATAAAATGGAAGCTATGCTGGAGCAGGTACTTGAAGGACAGCAGAAGATGACAGTGAACTTCAATGGCAAGCTAGATTCGCTGTATCAAGACCTTAATGGAAAAATTGAGAGTCTGAACTCTCACATGAAGAAGCTTGATGTGCAGGTTGCTCAAACTGCAGGAGCTGTTCAAAGGCAAGAGGGATTCCTTCCTGGAAGGACTGACATCAATCCCAAGCATCAGGTTAATGCCATCACAGTAAGGAATGAAAAGGAACTTAAAACAGTGCAGAAAAAGAGGTTGAGTGCAGAGCAGATCGTGCAACTGATGGAGTCTGAAGATGAAAATTTTTCTGTCTCAGAGGTGAGTGACGAGCGTCACCAAGGAGGAGTGATGCTCGTCACCAACCTACAAGGGTATCGGGGGTTGTCACAAGTGAGTGACGAGCGTCACCCCCTGGTGACGGTCGTCACCCACCCCAGAACGAAGCTGCTTCGCCTGTAACTGCAAATTATGACCAGGAACGTGTCTATAAACCCAAAACACCATTCCCCAAGCATCCTAGGAAGTCTAAACAAGAGATAGAAGAAGACAGATGCAAAGCTATGATAGACAAGCTGATGCTTGAGATCCCACTTGTTGATGCAGTCAAGCTTTCACCAGCTCTAAGAAGGTATGTAAAGAGAATGGTTGTGAATGGTGTAAGTCCTGAGGAAGGAGCATTGCTTACCAGAGACATCAGTGCAATTCTCTTAGGCACAGTTCCAAAGAAGAAGAAGAAGGTGACTGTTTCTGAACAAGTAAATACCATCACTCGAAGCAGAGTTCCAGAGAAGCTATCTGATCCAGGGACCTTTGTGCTTGATTGCTCAATATCTGCAGGACGTTTTCCACACTCTCTATGTGATCTAGGGTCAAGTATTAACTTGATGCCTTTCTCTGTTGCTGCTAGACTTGGAATGACTGATTTCAAGCCAGCTGGGATCTCTCTCATCCTAGCAGATCGATCCATAAGGACCCCAGAAGGCATGTTAGAGAATGTTCATGTTAACATTGAAGGCTGCATAATTCCTACAGATTTTGTGGTTCTGAAATATGCTGAAGAACCTAAAGATCCTCTTATTCTGGGAAGACCATTCTTGGCTACTGCTGGAGCCATCATTGATGTTAGAAGGGGGAACATTGAGCTTGATCTTGGTGATGTTGTCATGAACTTTGACATGGATAAGTTAAGAGGGAGTTCTACCATTGATGGTCAGACCTTTTCTGTAAGAACTTCTAGAGATGAAGAGACTGTCATGGAGCATTCAGAAGATACTATTGCTGAGTGTGTCAATGAATCAGATATAAGTGGGCAAGTGAGCAAGATGGCTGTTGAAGAGCCAATATCTGAAACTTCTGCAGAAGCTGTTGGGTTTGAGGATTGCAGTGAGGATCATATCTTCATGACTGGGCTTGAAAAAAAGGTTCTAATGAATGCCAAGTTGCTGGAGGAAGACGTGTATGTGATGGAAGCAACACTTGCAGAGCTGAATTGCAGGAAAACTGCAGCAACTCGAACTGCAGGGTCAGTGACGACCGTCACTGACCTGGTGACGCTCGTCACCAATCTGGACACAAAGCAGCAACGTGATTTTACAGCTACAAGTCCATCATATGTTGCCAATCCGAAAATTCACCATTCCACAACTCAGAAACCTGCAACTAAGCAAAGAAAGCTTGGTGTTTCTTTTGATGATTCTGCAGGAAAACGAAATGTCCCACCCACACTCACGACCCACCCTGCTGATGTTCTTCACTTCCTTGGAAGTGTTCATACATCTACTGCCTATAAACCACCATGGATGAGGAGACATTCTTCTCCAAGGCATTCAATGCCACCTTCTGTTCCACCAGCTGTCTGAGCAGCATTCAAAGTCGAGCTAATGACTTTAAACAAGCGCTTAGTGGGAAGCAACCCACTGGTAAGTTTTCTTTTTCATATATTAGTTTAGTTTTCTATTACATAGCTAAAAAAAGAAACCCAAAAACATGAAAAAAAATCAAAAAAAAAAAAAAAAAAAAAAGAGTCACTTTGTTCAGTTTGCTTGGATGATATCTTGTGAACTTGTTGGACCATGGATTAT